GCCCCCCGCCAGCCAGTCCCCGTGGCCGCGGGGCTCGGAGCGGCCGCACTCACGTAGTTGTCCCGCGCTGACCACGTCGGGTAGAGCTGCGAGTGCAGCTGCCGCTCCTTCCGCGCCAGCTCGTAGTACTTCGCCTGCTCCTCCCGCGAGAGCGAGTGCCACTGCGGGGGGAGAAGAGACCACGCTGCGAACCCCAAACCTGCCCTGTGAACCCCAAAGCTGGGCCACGAACCCCAAACCTGCCCTGTGAACCCCAAAGCTGGGCCACGAACCCCAAACCTGCCCTGTGAACCCCAAAGCAAGCTGGGCCACGAACCCCAAACCTGCCCTGCGAACCTCAAAGCTGTGCTGCGAACCCCAAAGCCATTCTGCGAATGCCAAAGCCGCCCTGCAAACCCCAAAGCTGGGCTGTGAACCCCAAAGCTGCCCTGCAAACCCCAAAGCCACTCTGTGAACCCCAAAGCTGCCCTGTGAACCCCAAAGCTGCCCTGTGAACCCCAAAGCCGCCCTGCGAACCCCAAAGCTGCCCTGTGAACCCCAAAGCCCCCAGGCTGCAAACCCCAAAGCCACTCCACAAACCCCAAAGCCACCCTGCAAACCCCAAAGCCACTCTGCAACCCCCAAAGCCGGGCTGCAAACCTGAAAGCCATTCTGCAAACCCCAAAGCCACTCTGCAACCCCCAAAGCCGGGCTGCAAACCTGAAAGCCATTCTGCAAACCCCAAAGCCACTCTGCAACCCCCAAAGCCGGGCTGCAAACCCCAAAGCCGGCTGTGAACCCCAAAGCCATTCTGCAAACCCCAAAGCTGCCCCGCCATCCCCAAAGCGGCGCTGCTGGCCCCGAGGACACGCTGCCCTGGGGCTGCGGGCTCCCAGCCAGCCCCACACGTTGCCGTCCCATCGCCCCCCAGGTCGCCACCAGCTCCCTGGGAGCTCCCGGGCTGGTGATGCCCCCGAAGGGACCAAGCCACAGAGCAAAGGAGGCTGAAGGCCATTTTCCGGGCGGGACGTGGACGTGGAGCCGGTGCCCTACCCGTCTGCCCAGGATCTGGTTGATGGCAGCGCTCTCCTTCAGCGTGCATTCAGCCACCACCTTGGCCCTCATCTCCTTCATGTACAACATGAAGGCGTTGAGCGGCTTCTTGATGTGGGGCTTCTTCTCCTCCTCCTTCTTCACAGTGACGGGGGATTTCCTGCGAGAAGCGGGATGATGATGGGTTGGGACCCGCTGACACCCCGGGGACAAGCTCCTGTCCGTTCCCATCCCTGGGGCCAGCCATTCCTGCCCCCCGACTCACGAGTTGCCTCCAGGGCTGACGCTGGGCTGGGTGGGTTCCTGCTTCACGATGGGCGAGACGATGGTCGGGTGTGGGATGCCGGAGGGGTGCAGCCCGTGGGTGGGTGGCGGGACCATGTGTGGGGAGAAACGGCTGGACATCAAACTGCAGTGGAGGGAGCGGGAGGGGAGGGCTCGTCAGTGCCCCGCCGGCACCTGCGCACCTCGTTTCCACCCCAAACCCTCCTGAGAACCTCCTGGGTTAAGAGACCACCAGCCCCAACCCAGCTGGGGTCTGGTTTCCCAC